TGTGTGTGTGTGTGTGTGTGTGTGTGTGTGTGTGTGTGTGTGTGTGTATGCGTGTGTGTGTGTGATTGGGGGGAAGGCAGAGACCAAAGCTTCGAGTTCTTGTGACGTTGTATTGTGACCAGTGGTGGTCATGGGCCATCTGGTGGCTCTCCTTCCCTTTTACACATGACTAGCTCACTTTTTCCAGTCATATATCTCTTTGTTGATAATTTATGACTTTTTAAATAAACTATCACACTCAGAGCATAAGCTTCCAGTTTATGGAAAAATTGAAGAAAAAAAGTTTGTTTTTTTTTTCTGGTTAAGTTTCTAATTATCTTGTATCTTCCATTGAAAAAACAAACAAACAACTAAATTAAATAAACATAAGCTTCTACTTCCATGTGGCAAGACAATCTGTTTCTTTTTATATGAGGAAAAAATGATATAATAATCGGAAGATTGTTTTTAATTTACACTTAACTCAGTTTATTTTCGTTATCAGTAGAAGCATTATGTGTGTAAATTTGAAGCATGTTAAATCACATCCCCTTAAGTCATTAAGAGAAAAATATTCTCTCACAGGGAATATTTAATTGTTTTCAGTATCAGGCAGCAAATTCTCAACTAATATAAAATTCTTACATATAGGTAATTTCCAATTGGCAATTGCCATAAAAGTTCCTATTAATATTAGACGTACTGTCAGAAGCACATAGCTATATATCACTTTGGCCCATGACTCTTAGATTTCTGAAGCTTTTGGGGAAAATATTTTTTAAGCCTACAATGAGTTTGAGACATGCATTTTGCATTTTATTTTCCCTCTCCCTAAGACTGTAGACATTTAAATGGGTTGGCGGTAATGAGTCATGCAGAAGAGAAAGATTATTCAAACTGTACAGAAAACAAATGTTACATTTTATCATGTGTCCTTAAGGGCACACAGCAATTTCCTTTATATGCAAGCAGCATATATTTTATGCGTATACAGCACATTTCAAATTGCCCAATGACAGGTCATTTTTAATTCGGTTGCAGGGCAAACAGCAGTGAACTTAAAGGAACTAATGGGTTGTAAAGCATTCCAAAGTTAACTTTTTTCATCATCACTCTATTTCCATAAAATTATATAAAATCAATTGAAAATATAACTATTTTGAAATATAAAAGATAAGCAAGGAAGGGGAAAAATGGAGATGTTTCCTTCAATCTTTGGAATGTTATATATATAAACCAAAGGTACACAAAAGATGGTTAAAACAAAGAAACAGGTGAAAAACATGGCCTGTGGAAAGATTGCTGCAACCTAAACAAAAGAGACTGCGTGACATAACATTGGCATCTAGGTGAGGACTAACTACTTAACCTGAAGTTAGGAAGATCTGAGTTCCAATATGACTTCTGATACTGACTTATTGTTTGACTATAGCCATGATGCTTAACTGCCTCAATTTCCTCACCTATAAAATGTGAATAATAATAGCACCTACTTTCTAGGGTTGTTGAAGTAATACTTATAAAGTACATTACAAACTATATAGTTAGTAGTGGCAGTAGTAGTAGTAGTAGTTGTTGTTGTTGTTGTTGTTGCTGTTATTGTTGTAGTATGAGGAGACTAAGAGGGAGGGAATAAGGAACCTTGGTACTAATTCTGTTTCCATCATTAACTTGGGTTTGTTTTGCTTTTGTACTTTGGCGATTTTATTGACATAGGAAATTCTAGAAAGGAAATTCCCTCTGTCCGTGCATATTGACATTTGCATTGAAAATTATATAGTCTTTGAAAGTTGCTTGGGTGCACTAAGATGAGATGATGAGATTGACAGTGGCTTATCTAAAGACACACAGGGTGTTCAGAGGTTACTCTTGAACCTAGCTAGACTTTCTTTGTAACACTTTTTGCTCTACCTCAGGCAAATCTATCACCTCACCTCTGGACATCAAGTAGGTCATATGTAAATGAAGAGATTGGAATATATATACATGTATGTGTGGGCATGTGTATATGTATATACACACATACACACATGTATATATACACATATATGTATATATACATACATATGTTTCTGTGTCTGTCTAGCTGTTTCCAGAACTCAAAACAACATAGAGCAATCCAAATGAAAATTTGTAAAGGGGGAACTAGGCGGCGCAGCGAACAGAGATCTGGCCTTGAAATCAGAAGGACCTGAGTTCAAATCCGGCCTCAGACACTTGACACTTACTAGTTGTGTGATCCTGGGCAAGTCACTTAACCCCAACTGCCTCACCAAAAAGCAAGAACAAAAAAAAATGTAAAGCCCAGCATCAAATAGCTGGTACAATAGATAGAACATGGAGCTTGCAGTTGGGAAGACTTGAATTTATCAGATATTTACTATCTACGTGATCTTAGGTAACACATTTCATAACTTTGGGGCTCAGTTTAGTCTTTTGCAAAACGAGAGATTTTAACTTGATGGTCTCTGAGGTCCCTTCCATCTCTAAGTCAATGGTCCTATTATTACTATCATCATAATTCACAGAGTTTATATTTCTATTATTGCTTTAGAGGTACAAAGATCTCATTTAATCCTCACCTCAAAAATGTTTTGTACAAAGATCTCGTTTAATCCTCACCACAAGATTATGAAATAGGTAGAAAAAAGCACTTTCATCCTTATTTCACCAAGGATATTGTGTCTCAGAGAGGCTAAGACTTGCCCAAGGACATACACTAACTGATGATAACGATTCCAAGTCTTTTCTGTTAATGTCTATGTTTTTCTCTAATAAGAATTCACTACAAGAAAGGCACAATACTAGAAGCTGAGAGAGACCCAAAGGTTATCTGCACAATCTTCCTGGAGAAAGGACATCCTAGCATTACATAATTTCTTGATGGAAATTTAGGGCTATCAAACAATTTTGAAATGTACCTAAGTGGCAACATAGTGAAAGGGAAAGAACATTGGATTAGAAGACCTGGGTTCCAGTTCTGGTTCTGTCACTAATTAGCAGGGTAACCTCTTGCTAGTCATTTAGCCTCACTGCAACTCCATTAATTCATCCATAACCTAAGAGATGTGGATGAGATTACACTCAAGCTAGGTTGCCCTTACTAGCTCTAAAATGATAATATACTCTTACATCAAGTTTGAATCTACTACGTAACAACAGGAGTTTATTTCAGATCACTTCACAGACTAGTATTTGCTTGAGTAATATAGCTTTAAAATACATTGAAAATGTGCTTTTAAGGAATCTAGTTTGCTTCAGGAAGACAGACATTCAAAAATCAGGGACAGGGACCCTGTGCTCCTCAAGAAACACATGTCCACAGATAACTGAAGAGCTAACACACAATTTGAACAAAAAAATCTCCCAATCTAATATGGCAAAATGTAATTACCACTATCTGAAAATAATCACTAGGTATGACCACATCTCCATTCTTCATCCAGTTCACTGTAGGCACAGGTTTTCCCGAGACAGCACACTCAAACTCAATGTCCATACTCTCATAGGCATAGAGATTTGAAGGGTGAATTAAAAACCATGGTGGAACTGTAAAGACAAAAAAAAAAAAAGAAAATAAGAAAAGAAAAAAAAGAAAAGAAAAGAAAATTAAAAAGTTTGGACTGTAAACACTGAATGCTGAGGACTTCACTAAACTAAAAACACAATAAACTGAAATAGAAAACATTTGTAATTCAAATTTTCCCCAAAACCTTTAGCTTATTAAACAGGAACAAGTGTAGAAAACATTTATTTTCTCAAACACAGTAAACAGTTGAAGTTAATAGTATTTTGCCACAAGGAAAGATTAAAAACCAAGTTTTGAAAAAAAAAGGGATTATATGTAATAAATATTCTGAGTACCAAAGTGCTTAAATAAAAGTGACCCGGACTCCAATTGGTAAATAGAGCTATAAAATTTATGTCAATTAATCAGGGAAGCAGAGTATGACATACACCTGCACAACCCTACAGAGAAGAAAGCTTATACTTAAAGCATTGCAGGGTTCTATCAATAACATGGAAATCTGGCTGAGCTCATTCCCTGGTTGAAACTGGGCATGATGATAGGGAGCTAAAATGAGCTGGATTATCTTTACTAAGGCTACATCCTTATTGTTCTAGCAATTATCCATTGTTTTGTATGACCATAATGTATTATTGTTTTCAGGTTATGGTATACAATATGCTAATTTAATTTAATTTCTTCATTATCATAATGTTAGTTAGATGATGATGGAAATTTGCAATTGAAGGAAAATTTCTAATACAACAAAAAATCACTAATGAATTTTCAAGCTTATTCCATACCATCTACAAATCCTCAATAGTAAGAGAAAAAAACAAACAAACAAACAAGTGAACTGTTCATTTTCATACATATGGGATCTTGCAGGAATTGTCCATTTTGAATATTCATACTGCCTGGGAAGCCAGATTAGATTAATTTTAAAGTAACAAACATAATATCTCTTTTCACACGGAAAATACATGTGCATTTTTCAAGTGGCCATGTTGAATATTTAATTGATTGTGTTTCTATTTGCTTTATACAATGTCTTATATAAATAAATTTATTCAAAATTACCAGATAAGCTACTCTTCCATGATAAGTAGGCCCTCAAATGTTCCTTCCTCTGATGTGTACCATATTTCCAGTGGTAGATAATAAATCTATACTATTTTGGGGGATAAACTTTCTATCTTTTGAGGACCGCTGACTAGCAGAGGGGAAAAAAAGAGTACTTATTCAAGTCCTGCAAATGCACATGAATATTTTATGAAATATATAGTTCTATAATTATTTTTGCATATGTTACAAATGCATACATGCACATACAAATAAGCACACATGTATATGTGCACATATAA